TATGAAGAAAATCAACAGGATGTTATGAGAAAGAACAATGGAAGGGAATTACTTTGGATTTTAGGGAGACTTCTCTAAGGAAATGATATTTATTTAAGCAGATAGCTAAAGAATGAGAAGTCAAGTTAGAGGGAAACTACATATGCAGGTGTTTTCAAAATACTGAAAGAGGGCCAGGGTGGCTAAAACATAGTAAGCAGAGTAAGCATAGTAGTTGAACTTAGAGAGGAAAGTAAGAGCAGACAGATCATGGTAGAAAATTGGGATTGTAATCCAAGTGCAATGAGGAACAGAGAACTAATGTGATCAATTATATTTTTTATATACCTCATCTGGAGTTGGTATGGAGAATGGGTTGGAGGGGCTTAAGAGCAGAAAGTGGGAAACCAGTTGTTGTAGTCCAGGTAGTTGATAATGAAAGATTCAACTAGGTAGAGTCAGTAGAAGTGGAGAGAAATTAGTGAATTAGAGATACACATTAGATGTAAAAACCAACAGGTTGTACTCATGAACTAGATTTAAGAGTTGGGGGTAGGGGAAGGGAGGAGAGGGAGTAATTAAGGAAAACTCCCATGTTTCTGCCTTGAGCAACTGGGTGAATAATCATGCCATTTACTAAGATTGTGGAGAAAGAAAGAAAAAGAACTGGGAGAAAAGTCAAATTATAGATATAACTTTGAGATATCCTATAGGCTGAGCACAGTGGCTCACACCTGTAATCCCAACACTTTTGGGAGGCCAAAGTGAAAGTATTGCTTGAGCCTAGGCGTTGGAAACAAGCCTGGGCAACACAGCAAGACCCTGTCTTAATTTAAAACAAAAATGGTTGGGTGCAGTGGCTCACGTCTGTAATCCCAGCGCTTTGGGAGACTGAGGTGGGCAGATCATGAGGTCAGAAGTTCAAGACCAGCCTGGCCAACTTGGCGAAATGCTGTCTCTACTAAAAATACAAAAATTAGCTGGGCATTGTGGTGTGCGTCTGTAATCCCAGCTACTTGGGAGGCTGATGCAGGAGAATTGCTTGAACCTGGGAGGTGGAGGTTGCAGTGAGCCAAGTTCGTGCACTCCAGCCTAGGTGACAAGATTGTCTCAAAACAAAACAAATATATATATATATATATATATATATATATATATATATATATATATATATATCTTGATCCTTGAACCCAGGAGGTAGAGATTGCAGTGAGCCGAGACTGCATACTCCAGCCTGGGTGACTGGAGACTTTTTTGAGACTCTGTCTCAAAAAACAACAACAAAACAGATATATCTGTGTCTTTTTTATACAAAAAAGGAGATATCCTACAGATATATCAATAGAGAGATAAAAGAATCTGAAGCTTAGAGAAAAGTTTTAACTTAGGAATATAATTTAGGAATCACCAGCATAGAGATGGTACTCAAAGTCAAAGAATGGATGAAATTACGTAGATAGAGACTAATGAGAACTCCAGGACTGCCCTTGAAGATTCCAGTATTTATAAACGGGTTGTGGAGGAGGAACTAACAAAGAAGGCTTAGAAGCAGCAGCTAGAGTGTAGAAAGAAAATCAAGTGTTATGTGATTTTCTTTCTAAGAAATGAGCGTGTTTCTAGAATGCAGCAGAGTGATCAACTGAATCACATGCTACTGAGAGTTTGAGTGAGATTCAATTTGGTAACCTAAACGTTGTAGGTAGCCATGATCAGAGATATTTCAGTGGCATGGGAATGGAGATGAGGCTATGGAGACAGCACAAGCAGACAAACTATGAAGATGAGAAAAGAAGTGAGGGAAAACTGGAGGAGGATGTGTGGTTCAGGAAGGAACTTTTTTTTTTTTTTAAGATAGAAGGTATTAAATCATATGATGTGCAGTAAAGAATAAACTAATAATACTATAGAAAGAGAGGAAGATCAGTGTGTGAAGTGCAAAAAAGGTGAGAGGGGATAGGATCCAGGGTGTATGTATTAGCCTCTGATAGATGAGTCACTTTTTCATTTTACAGATGGGAAGAAAATTGATACAGAACCAGGTAAGTTTGTAGGTTTGGCCATTCACTTTACTCAATGTCATCAGTTGAAAATGAAAGGTTTGAGGAGAAAATAATGGAATATAATAGTCATTGTGGGGGCTAGAAGTGTCTGAGGGAAACAGATGCCAGGCAGGCAGGGATTGTTTAAAGGTACTGTGATTCACTTAAAGGGAAAAGAAATGCGTTGCGTGATTTTCTGCCCAGCAGCCTTCATGCCAGCACAAGGTGAATGGTTGGGTTCATGCAGAGTTGAGGTTTTGATAGGTGAGTGTGACAGAGTGGTGCTGAGGGGCAAAGGAGGTGGGAGACTGGCAAGGGAGGGACTCTTAAGCTGGTTAAGGAAGGAAGTGAATTGGAGGAAGCAGATTGGAGGTCTCTGAAGTAGACCTGAAACATTTGAGCAAGTGAGCTGGAAGCATAGGAGGTAATGTAGGGGAGTGGGTTGTGGTTTTGAAGTGAGTGGGAACTCAAGGTTTTGAAGTAAGTTTCTTGTGATATTAGTTTCCTATAACTGTGGGATGTATGGCTGAGGTGGAAGAGAAAGGTGGGAGACATCTCAAGGGAGTTAAATGGGTCATCCACATGAAAATCGCTTTATGTCAGGTATTAGGGAAGAAAGGAAGATTGTGAGCCAAATGCTGAGAGCTGCTGGTTGGCTATAGAAGGAGAAGGATGGTAAAACCAGGTGGCACTGAGCATCAAAGGAGAAAAGATTTTACCAAAAGAGAAGCAGGGGAAAGAATGGTCTGCAAGTAACAGAGGGGCTACAAGCTAGGCTCTGACTGTGTCTTGTGACACTATGTATGTGGGATGTTTGGGAAAAAATAGCTTCATTTTGGAGAGGCACAAGGAAAGCAGTGTTAAGGGACAGTAAGCTTTCAGAGAAGGTTAGGTAGGAAAGGGAGCAGTCAGAAGTCTGAGGCTCTTCTTAAGAGGCTCTAGGAAGGTGGTCACTGTTTGGCTAGCAACTGTACACTCGGCCTGTCATATTTAAGTATTTGTTCAATGAATTAATGAATAAAAGAGAAGAGCTTAACTCCTCATGGTCAATTTTTAAATTGAAGTAAAATATACATAAAATCTACTTATTTTAACCATTTTAAAATGTTCAGTTCTGTAGTATTAAGTACATTCACATTCACTATTGTGCAACTGTCACCACTGTTCATCTCCAGAACTTTTTCATCTTCCAAACTGAAACTGCTTACCCATTAGACATTAACTCCTCATTTCCTCCTCTACTCCCCCTGACAACCATAACTCTACTGCCTCTATGAATTTGACTATTCTAGGTACCTCATATAAGTGGAATCATACATTTGTCTTTTCATGACTGGCTTATTTGACTTAGCGTAATGTTCTCAAGGTTCATCCGTATTATGCCTTTATTAGAATTTCCTTCCTTTTTAAGGCTGAATAATATCCTATTGTATGTAAATACAGTGTTTTGTTTATCCATTCACCTGTCAACGCATATTTCTGTTGCTTCCATCTTTGACTATTGTGAATTACACTGCTATGAACATGGGTGTGCTAATATTCTCCTTGAGACCCTGCTTTCAGTTCTTTTGGGTATATACCCAGAAGTGAAATTGCTATATCGTACAGTAATTGTTTACTCTTTTTGATGAACTGCCATCCTGTTTTCCACAGTGGGTGTACCATCCTATTCCCAACGGTGCACAAAGGTTCCAATTTCTCCACATCCTCTCCAACACTCGTCCTTGTCTGTTTTTTATTTTTATTTTTATTATTTTTTGAGACAGAGTCTCACTCTGTCGCCCAGGCTGGAGTGCAGTGGTGCCATCTCTGCTCACCGCAACCTCTGCTTTCCAGGTTCAAGTGATTCTCCTGCCTCAATCTCCTGAGTAGCTGAGATTACAGGCACATGTCACCACCCTGGCTAATTTTTGTATTTTTTAGTAGAGACAGGGTTTTATCATATTGGTTAGGCTGGTCTCGAACTCCTGACCTTGTGATCTGCCCACCTTGGCCTCCCAAAGTGCTGGGATTACAGGCGTGGGCCACCATGCCCAGCCTGTTATTTTTATAATAAATCCTTCTGGGTGTGAGGTGGTATCTCACTATAGTTTTGTGTTTTCCTAGTGATTAGGGATGTTGAGCATCTTTCGCATATGCTTATTGGTCATTTGTTTTGCTTTAGAGAAATGTCTACTTTAGTCCTCTGCTCATTTTTTTTGATGATTGTTTTCTTATTGTGGATTTACAGACCCCTTTATCAGAGATATGATTTGCAAGTATTGCTCCCATTCCATGGGTTGCCTTTTTCACTGTTGATTGTATTGTTTTATGCAGTTTTAAATTTTGATGTGGTCCCATTTATCTATATTTTCTTTTGGTGCCTGTACTTTTGACGTCACTTTCCATCAAATACAGAGTTCATCAATGAAATCATTGCCAAATCTAAAGTGAGTCTGTCCTTTCCCCATAAAATGGTCTTAAAACCCTTCCATAGATTAATGTCTGCCTTTATGTGAATGGTTTTAACAACTGAGAAATGTATTACAATGTCTTTGATCATCCATTTAAGCTTTATCAAATAAAGATTAGTGCTTCCCTACCTTCCAGTGCCTTTTCTCCCTACTCCTGTCACCTCCTCACATCACTCTTCCGCTTCAAAACTATAATGACTATTTCAGTAGAAGACAAATTTCTATAGTTCCAAACTTTAAAATATAAACATCAACATGCTTCTTCCATTGGCCCTGATACCAATGTTTGTGCATTAGCTGAACCTGCTTTCTGGGTTTCAGAAAACAAGGGTCAGATTTCAATAATGATTATTGAAATACTCTACTGAACACGTCATAACTTAATTCTTCAACTTTTATTTTTCACAGTCACATGGGCTCAGGGTTAATTTTTAAGATTCTAGTAAAGTATTTTAGTTGAAAATGTGATTTCATATTTGTCATTTTAAGGAGTATTTGTCATTTACACTCTATTATCTTCTTCATTTAGGGGCCACTGTATTTTGTGTTGCTCCGAATGCAGTATTTCCATTTGAACTGTATAATGAAGAATACTTAGAGCAAAGGGATCTCTATCTGACTCAGTGCCAACAACAGCTGGAACAGTTTATTGCCACATATGGACCTGGGACAACTATTTTCTCTAGTGATGAATAAGCAATTTGAGGAATTTTTGTTCATTCCTACCTAAGCAGTGGAGAAAAAGTGTGAGTATTTTGAGAGTGACTTTGAATACATGCTTCCATAATACCGTGTACAGGAATATATTACAATACTATTTTAAAAAATGCAAAATATAGTCCCCTCAAAATTGCTAGCAGGATAAATACTAATCCAAACCTCTAAAACCAACAGAATTTTAAAACATAGAACAATGTGGGCAATTTGAAATGATAAAGTTGTCAAGGAGAATGCTATAAAGAAAAACCGTATGGTTAGCCCAGAATACCAGTGGCGAACAGATAAAAATGTAAAGAATGTTGCAATCTAAGCAATATGAAAAATGGCAACCTTTATGTTAGTTCACTCTAATGTCACAAGATGGCAATAACTCTTTACCTACAAATGATTCTAAAACATTTTTCTTCCACTTGTGAACTTGCTAAACTGATGAGTAAATACTTTAAACGTGAGCTTTAAATGTAAAGCCTTTTTACACTTTATTATTGACATGTCCATTACATACCACTGTTTTAGAAGCCCTAAATATGGAGTCAGGAAAAGCCTTGGAAATTTTCTTTAGGTATATGCCAGGTTAAATGAAAAAATACAGGGAACCAAGGAGCCAATAACTTATAAATTGGCTCTTTAATCCTAACTGGTTACAAGAAAGGTCCCAAAAGGCAAATAAACCAATTTGCAAATCTAGTCCTCATTTTTGGAGAGAAGATACCTGCTTTGAAAAGATAGTGGCATTGGCCCAGCAAGGTAGCTCCTGCCTGTAATCCCAACACCTTGGGAGGCTGAGGTGGGCCGATCATGAGGTCGAGATCGAGACCATCCTGGCCAACATGGTGAAACCCCGTCTCTACTAAAAATACAAAAATTAGCTGGGCGTGGTGGTGCATGCCTATAGTCCCAGCTATTCAGGTGCCTGAGGCAGGAGAATCACTTTAACACAGAAGGCAGAGGTTGCAGTGAGCTGAGATTGTGCCACTGCACTCCAGCCTGGCAAGAGGGAGACTTCGTCTCAAAAAAAAAAAAAAAAAAAAAAAAAAAAAAAAAAAAAAAAAAAAAAAAAAAAAAAAAAAAATAGATAGGGGCACCATGAAAAAACAAACCTATTTTGTAAAATTTATAAATCCTTTTTCGTTCAGTTTTCATAACTTTAATAAGATCAGTTCTATTCACAGAAAAGCAGAATGTCATTACCAAATTGCCACTTTGTTAACCAAGATGCTACCATGCATCAATTCTTTCAAAATTGGTCCCTTCATAAGGCTGCTTAACTATGCAGCTGGACCTCTCCCACTCTCCAGAGGAAGTTGTTCACTACTACTGAATACCTAACTAGTAGCAGGGACTAAACAGTATTAGTTTTCAGAAGACAAAGGTAGTGTTTTTGGTTTTTGATAGGGTCTCAGGTCGCCCAGGCTGGAGTACAGTAGGGCAATCTCCGTTCACTGCAACCTCCACCTTCCAGGTTCAAGCAATTCTCCTGCCTCAGTCTCCCAAGTAGCTGGGATTACAGGTGCGATCCACCACAACCAGCTAATTTTTTGTATTTTTAGTAGAGATGGGGTTTCCCCATGTTGGCCAAGCTGGTCTCAAACTCCTGACCTCAGATGATCTGCCTGCCTCAGCCTCCCTAAGTGCTGGGATTACAGGTGTGAGCCAACGCACTCAGCAACAAAGGTAGTTTTCAACAAAATATTTACATATTACAGTTCTATAAGGTTAAGACCTTTGTGTCTCAAATACTACATTTCAAACATTTCTGGCTCTGTATGGGGTGAAGTCAAAACACATTCCTACTTTATAAAATTAGGATCCTTTTAAATTTGAAAGTTTTAAAAACTTTTTTTGAGACAGGGGCTGTCACCCAGTCTGGAGTGCAGTGGCAACATCTCAGCTTCCTATAGCCTTGACCTTGCAGTCTCAAGCAATTCTTCCACCTTAGCCTTCCAAGTAGCTCAGACTACAGGCCCATGCCACCACCCTGGGCTACTTTTTACATTTTTTGTAGAGGTGGGGTTTTGCCATGTTTCCCAGGCTGGTCTCAACTTATCCTCCCATCTCAGTACCTCAGTTTCCCAAAGCATTGGGATTACAGGGGTGAGCCACCATGCATGGCACAAAAATGACTTTTTATTCACTTTATTTATATAGCTGTCACTCAAGCTGGAGTGTACTGATGCAATCACAGCTCACTGCCACCTTAGTCTCCCCAGCTCAAAGGACCCTCCCAACCTCAGTCTCAAAGAGGGCCACTTCCATACAAAAAATTAAATGTTTACATTTCTCATTACAGGGGTTGCATTTACTAAATCTTTATTTCAGTATCTAAAAAGTATAAGCGTACATTCAGAAAGATAAAACAATTATGGGAGTTAATACATTAATATTAAATATGATGCCAATGGTGTTTTAAAAGTTATTGGATAATTAGAAGGGAGTGGGGTGAAAAATTACTTAATGGGTACAAACTACACCATTCAGGTAATGGCCGCACAAAAATCTGACTCCAAACTACTTCATATACCCATGCAACCAAACTATACTTATACCCCACAAGTCTATACTTGAGGGAATTGACTAAGATGTTGCTATATAGGTTTTACATCATTTATCACATGCAAATTATAACCTTGGTAAAAGTAATTTATAAGCTAGTACTCAACAGAAGATTTAGCTGTAAGCCTTCACTCACCTAGATATAAATTCAGCTTTAGAATTCTTACCAATTTAGTCCTGGACAGACTGGCCTGTTCAGTCTTATTTCTCATAACATAGCATATTGCTTAGTTATTATGTGTACTAGTATTAGGATGACTTTTTGTTCACAAAGATGAAAAGCAAACAATAAAGGTGAAACGATTGCTATTTGGCATTAAGAAGTTTTAAGAATCCAACCACCTGGCACAACAGCAGGCTCTGAAGGGGAGGCTAAACAGGGAACCTAGAGGTACAAGCAATGTCTCCCCACCTGTTCGCCTCAGTGAGAATCACCACCCACAAATAAGCCAATTACTGACAAGATTGTATTCTTTCAAGTATGTTAAAAACAGGTCTGACTAGTGACTATGAGAATGAAGCTCTTTAGAGCTGATTTAAAAGAAAACAATTTATTGTTCAGCAATTTAAACAATTAGCCAAACACATATTTTCTCCATAATTTATTGTGATGTTTATCAACATCAAATAAAATACTCATTTCATCATTACTTCTGTTCATGTTTTCTTGACAGTCTTCAATTTTCTTTCCAAAATGTTGCATGCCACACCTCCAAAACAAAATCAGAAACCAACAGTGAAAATCATTCCATACTCAAAGTTCTCATATAACCTCAATATTAACAAGTGCCCCTCAAAAAATTAATGTTGAGAATATATACATGCAAAGGCAACTTCAACAAGAATCAGCCCCCACCCTTTGGAGTTTATCATATCAGATACTTTCTGAACTATCAGCAAATACAGCTGCTTGACAAATCACACTTACTTGAGGCAATGAGGCAGAAGTATTTTTAAACTTCTTAAACACGACAGCGAAGAACATTCATCTACAGCAACCTATATGCTAAAGAAAAAGAATATTCATTCACCCTTCTTAATTAAATATTGCCTTACATACATGTCAGTAATTAATCAATGAAAATTACTGGCATCTCAGTCTTAAAAGTATTTCTTCAAAGACACCCTCAGCTGGGTAAACGGCAAAAAATAATTTAAGTCATCATTGTGCCAGCTATTAATCCTATCTGTCAAGAATACATAACATTAATTTTAGGTACCTCAATACATGCTGTGTGATCCTAGTAGTTATTTCACAGACTTCTACAAGTTTTTGGAAAACATCTGTCATGATGACCTTCATACATCTTCAACTCAAAGGCTTTCTTGCACCTGGAAATTAAATATTACATTTTGAATTCCCATTTTTATTTGCATTTGTTTGGCATCTTATATGTACAATTGGTCCAGGGAGAGAATCTCATTAGGTACTTGCAACCTACCTTTCAGACTCCTAACCCATTTTTTAATAAAAAAGTGCTGGCTGGGTGTGGTGGCTCATGCCTATAATCCCAGCACCTGGGGAGGCCGAGGAAGAAGAACTGCTTGAACCTGGGAGGCAGACACAATTGTCCTAGTGAATACACAGCCACTGCTTTTCTGTCTCACAGCTTGACCAGGATGCTATAAGCCAGGTTAGATGTATAAAAACTGGCATGAAGACTTTCACCTAAAAAGATTATATTGGCAAATCTAGCAGTTTTTAGAGCAGAGATACTTATGTTGGCATTTTTACCGGACACATTCCTGTAAAATTTAGTCCCAAGTTAACCGAAAACTGCAAAGGGCATGGCCTGGGCAAAAAAAAATCATACAGCACCCCAGGAGAATAACTAATTGCCAGATAGCAATAGGAAATGACTTGGAACTAGACAACTACATGGAAAATTCTATCTTTACAAAGCTTAAAAAATACTACGCGGGTGGATCACCTGAGGCCAGGAGACCAGCCCGGCCAATATGGCAAAACCCTGTCTCTACTAAAAGTACAAAAAATTAGCCGGGCATGGTGGCACATGCCTGTAATCCCAGCTACTCAGAAGGCTGGGGCAGGAGAATCGCTTGAACCTAGGAGATGAGATTGCGCCACTGCACTACAGCCTACACGATGGGAGCGAGAGTCCATCTCAAAAAAAAAAAAAAAAAAAAAAAAAAAAAAAAAAAAAAAAAAAAAAAAAAAAAAAAAAAAAAAAACAAAAACCCCACAAAGCTTAAAAGATATTTATAGAGATGCATATACATAATGAAACTGCTATCCCACCGCCTCCTCCCGGAAACGAAAAGACTGGCACAAAATTCCAGATGGTGGGTACCTCTGAATAGGAGGCAGGGGAATGTAAATAAGATACCCTAGTATTGGTAATATTATCGTTCTCAAATGGATCGGTGGAGTCTTTTGTGTTTATTATGCTTCAGAACTTCCCTGTACTACAAATTTTATTAAATATTTAGTTTGGAAATTTTTAGCACTTACCAGTGAAAACAGAATTGAAGCTACTGAAGCCTCAAAAATAAGAATACCAAAAATATTTTAAGTAAAAGCCATGACATTCATCCTCTTGACAGTTAACGATTATTTCAAGACGAAGCAATGCATTTCAAATTTGAAGGGAATAAATAAAAACAACTATACCAAGTCTCACTGATGAGCTATGCAATTTTAAAATTTGTTTCTGTGGCCGGTCGCGGTGGCTCATGCCTGTAATTTCAGCACTTTGAGAGGCAGAGGCGGGTGGATCATGAGGTCAGTTCAAGACCAGCTTGGCCAAGATGGTGAAACCCCGTCTCCACTAGAAATACAAAAATTTGCTGGGGGTAGTGGCGGGCACCTGTAATCCCAGCTACTCGGGAGGCTTAACCATAGAATTGCTTGAACCCGGGAGGCGGATGTTTCAGTGAGAGGAGATCGCACCACTGCACTCCAGCCTGGGTGACAGAATGAGACTGTCTCAAAAAAAAAAAAAAGAAAAAAATTGTTTCTGAATAGCTAACAGGTTTTTCCAGCCCCCCAGCTGCTGACCCGGTTTCTTCTGTATTATGTCCAGAAATACACGTCTCTATGTAAATGCAATAATCTCTGTATGTAGCAGGCAGTTAGCCTAAGGGCCTTCTATACTTTCACGTGTTGCTCTCCAACCTCCAAGCCTTGACTTTAGAGCGTATTACAAATACCGACT